CTGTCTTTATTGTGCAGAGGATTACCCAACTATAGTTCCCTCTTACAGAAAAAATTACAGGAAAGAATAAGTAATTCAGTTGAGGCATTATTGGAATAACTCTGGTAGATACTGGTGTGTATAAGAGCCAAGTTGCTTCCTAAAGCTGGAAGACTCTTGCTGAGTTGGTGAAATACAGGGGTTATATCTGGCCAGGTGATGGCACACACATAATCAGCATTATTTAGTATAAAAATTAAAGTGGAATTTGACACTGCTGATGAGAACACGTTAGCAAGATTTTTAGCCTAATGTAAAACCTAGCTCTGAAGTTTCTTCTCGTTATTTGTCTTACTCTGTGGTGCTGCTTTTCTGTGCTATGGTTTTTTTTCATGTCCTGTTTTTCATTAGGTGGTTGAAAAGTTAATTCGTGGCTTGGCCATGGAGGACAGCAGAAACATGTTTGCTTTGTTTGAATACAATGGAACTACTGATAAAGCGATTGAAAGCAGAACCATTGTGGCTGATGTCTTGGCAAAGTTTGAAAAGTGAGTGTGCCTCTCCTCTCTCACCACTCTAATAAATAGTGATTAAATAAATTTCCAATATCAATAATACTGCATTTTCTCTTTTTCTTGCTCGTGTGTGATGATGCCGCTAAATTACACACGTGGCCATTTCTGGAACAAACGCATCTTTATTTTTTTTTCTTAAAGGAATTAATGAGACACCTATTTACTTATGTTTGGTTTTCCTCTGTCTTGACACCAGTAGAGTAATATTTCTCATGACTATTTCCACATTTTGTTTTCCAAATTTTTCCACCATTACTAGTATTGTGGCTGCCCCAGTACTGGGAGGACTGAACTCCAGGCAGTCGTTGCCATTCTAACTGCCCGTTGCCTAACTTCACGTGGAAGTCACCACAGTACAGCTCACAACACTTTTCTTACCAGTAAAATTGAAGCCACCCATAGCACTGTAGTAAGAAAATGTAATACAAGCCTAAATACCTGTTTGTCATCCTTATGTTACATGCATGGCAATCAGCCTTCTTTATTCACATTATAATGGGGGTGGGGATGGGGAAGGAATGTCTATCGGTGTGCAATTACATTTAATAATAGGACTTAATAATGTTGCTTTTATCAACACCTTACTGAGCCACAAATAAAAGTTGGTTAAGAGAAGTTGTGTTAGAAACAGTTGACTGAGAACTGATCCAACATCTGTAAGTCCTCGATTTTACTGTAGGCTCTAAATATACACATGCATATCTCTGTAATCTCCAACGACATCGGTCAGGTATACTGCTGAAAACAATTAGCTCCTTTCCACAACACAAGACTGACAGCACAGGTACCTAACCAAAATTCAGCTGATGCCTTGCTTAGATTCTTCAGGTGTCATTTTAGAATGCAGTTTGATTTCACAGATCTGATCTCTCCCTCTCCACACACCCATGCAGGCTTGCTGCCACTGCTGAAGCTGGGGAGATGCACTGGAAGTTCTACTTCAAGCTCTACTGCTTCCTGGACACAGAAAACGTCCCAAAAGATAGCGTGGAATTTGCCTTTATGTTTGAGCAGGTAAAGAACAAGGTTTTATTTTGAGGTACTTTTAAGAGGAGGAAAAAAGCAAGAGATCTAGGCAGCACAGGGACAGTTTTGGTTACAATTCTGTTTAACTAAATGCACTACTACTAAAGCATCACGTGCAAAGAAGGAAGTTCAGTGATCAAAATACGCTTGTCCTATTTCATCCTGTTATATCCTGTATTCACATAAGTGAAGCAAATATGATTTACCTAGTGTTATGACTTTTCTTACTTCTGCATTATGGATGAAAAAGAAAAGAATACATGCTTTTAATTCTGCTCTTATGAAACTATTTTCTTAAGAAAGTGCAAGAAATAAAGTGAAAATTGAGTAATTGGCAAGCAAATTCATTATTAGAGACCCATGTTGGCAACTGTACAGAACTAATTGGACAATAGCTTTTTCTCTTTTCAAAAACTCATTGGTATTTCATAGGCACCATAGTAAAACAAATCAGTCCAGTCTCAGCAGTAACCATAAGACAGAACGATGAGCAGAAATCCACTTAATCAATGTGCTGAGATCAGAATGAGGCCATATTGCACAATATAAAATAAGTGAAATTGATTAATAATAAAGGCTAAATGCATCAGCATTTGGATTTTTATTATATGAAGTCCTGTAGTTGCTCAGAAACTCTCACTGATACCGTTTATTATTGTTGATTGACCTTCTCCTTTTCTACTATATGGCAAATGGCTAAAAATTCTTCCAGTGGGCAGCTTCAAGTGGGCCCTAGATTTCTGTGTAAGGCTATTTGCAATGCCAAGACACTGACCTTTTGTTGGTGAGCAAGCCCGATGTGATCAAGAACTGACATATTTCAGTTTTCATAGGTATGAAGCCTTTTTCCTTTTCCACAGAATCAGAAACATCTTCACTGTATAAGAGAGCATTTCTTCCTTGTTCACAGTTTAGGTTTTAAGGCATCATACTACATGATGAGTCTACCAAAAGTCTCCTTCCAGAGCCTACTACTTTAACTCAGTCAAGAACTGCTTACTGTTGGCTGGGCTGAAGTATCTGGACAACAGACTGCCTTGGTTGGGCTTAGAAATGTTCCATTCTGACTGTCTGTCTGGTTTTACATATAGGGGAGTCACCTAGTTAATGCCTCTGCTTTGGGATGAAGTTCAGTCAGTAAGAGGAAAATCCGCGAGAGCTCTGCATCAGATATTTTACACCACATTATTGGTTTAAGAGGCAGATTTAGATAGTTTTCCATTTGAACAACTACAACAAGCACATTTGCTGAGACAGATTGTTTTAATGCAACATTCTGCGCTGACTGGTGTTTAGCCAAATATTTTGTGTCTTGCCAAGACCAATAGTATTTCAGTCACAAAGCATGGCACATTAAATCCCTATGATAATATTACAGCAATGTAAAGACGTGATTTCTTACCTTCTGACATCAATTCTATTCTTTTATTCTAACTGCCTGCTTTTGATGTCAGTCATCGACTTTTTTCAGCCTGTTAAGAAAGTTCCCTTTTCACAGAATCACAGAATGTTGGGGATTGGAAGGGACCTCAAAAGGTCATCTAGTCCAATCCCCCTGCCGGAGCAGGAACCTTTTTTGTCATCAGCTGTAGTTCTGTAACCTCCATTATTTAAAAGTCTGAACCCTTTAATTCATAAGATGCTGAAGAAAAATCTTTTAGTTCTTCTTTCTCATTAAAATACTCCCATTTCCACAAGACAGCTCTTTTTCTTTGGCATGTGTACCATCTCAGGTAAACCGTCTTGCATGTTTAAAGGCACATTTTGTCCCCATCCTAAGTGTACACCTGAATGAACTAGCTCTTACTTAGATGTGAACTATCCCTGTGTCTTTACTAAACTGCTTTCAGTTCTTGCATCGCCAGACATGAGGTGGGTTTGTTTCCTGTACTAGCCTCATAAAAAAAAAAAAAAAATCCTAGCTGCTGCCCATTTCCAAAGGTTTGAATGGGTGTGCAAAGACCTAGGATTTGAAAGAGTCTTCTTGGTTCAGAATCACATCCCTGATGCTACAGACCCTTCTAACATACAAATGTCCTAACCTTATCTAGGATCCACTGAAGATTTACTGTTTTCCCTCAGTGAGGTTTATTACAAAGGTGTCCTGGAGCTTTGTTTGTTTGGCTGGAAACATCAGTTTTCACAGCCAGATTATTGATAGCAGTAAGCAAATCCATTTCTTCCCAATGCCCTTAACATAGATGGCTTCCTCCCAATCAGGCATTTAGATCCTGATTTTCTACCCTTTACATTTTATTTTCCCTTTTATTAATTCAGTTGCTGACTAGTAACAGTAGTTCCCATATAGCAAGTTCCTCAATTGCTGTTCCTCTGGTAAAGCCAGTCTTACACAGTTTAACAAATTTGCCCAGAGATTTACCAGATTTGTTTTATTTAAGGGTTCATTTATTTCAGATCCTGAGTTTGCCCGGCAGTAAATCTACTTCCTATTTCTCTCTTAATTCTTTCAAAGATTGGTTGGTACATAAAAAGCAACCTTTTTTTCCCTTGATAGGCTCATGAAGCAGTGATTAGAGGACACTATCCTGCTCCTGAAGAAACCCTCCAGGTCCTTGCAGCTTTGCGTCTTCAGTACCTTCAGGGAGATTACACTCTGCATACCACTGTACCTGAAATAGAAGAAGTCTATCCCTTGCAAAAGCTGAAATCTCGGATTACACAATCTACAAAAACATTTACTGCAGCGGAGAAGGCTGAGAAGAAACGAGCCAGCTTTCTTGAAGGAACGTTGCGGAGGAGTTTTCGGAGTGGCTCTGTCAGCAAACAGAAGGTTGAGGAGGATCAGATGTTAGATATGTGGGTCAAAGAGGAAATCTCAGCTTCCAGGACTAGTATTATTGACAAATGGAAAAAACTCCAGAGGATGAACCAGGAGCAGGCTATGGCAAAGTATATGGCTTTGATTAAGGAATGGCCTGGCTATGGCTCAACACTCTTTGACGTAGAGGTGAGTAAGACCTCTGGAACACTCCAACTACACTTTATACTGTATAGATGATGATTTCATTACCGAGTAGTGGAACCATAAATATGGTATCACAATGCTCAGACAGCTGATGTAATAAAATGTTAAGATATTAAAAGCATACTCCTGTTAGCAAGCACCGTAGCTATTTAAGTCCACTAGTTAACCATAAAATACAGAGGGACAGAATGGTAGCCTGGTGGGTTGCAGATGAGTTTGAGAAGTGTAAAAGGCTGTGTTCAAAGAGGGACAAGCAATATGCACTTTAAAAAAAATGGGTTACAGACGAGAACCTCAACAGTAAGTGTTGTGTGGCTCCCTCTGTTCCCTTTGCAGTTAATTTACATTTTTTCCTCTAGTGTAAAGAAGGGGGATTCCCACAAGAGCTGTGGCTTGGAGTCAGTGCTGATGCAGTTTCTGTCTACAAGCGTGGGGAAGGAAGGCCTCTGGAGGTGTTTCAGTATGAACATATCTTGTCATTTGGTGCACCGCTTGCCAACACCTACAAGATCGTGGTGGATGAGAGAGAACTGCTTTTTGAAACTAGTGAGGTAAGAGCAAGAAGGAATTTTGTTATTGTGGTCTTCCTGTTCTGATAGCCAGGCTACTCAGTAACATAAGTAATTGCTGCCAGTGTTACAGAAAAGAACCCAATAAAGCTGAAGGGAAGACATAGCGAGGTGGATAGAAGTGCTGAGTATTTTTATTTGTTTAACCACAAAAGGGTTGTGTTGAAAGCTCTACGGTTTTACATTGTTAGCGTCTGAAGAAATTCATTCACATACTTTTACCTTACAAAGAACTTTGCTCTTTATACTCTTTTGGCAGGTGGTTGACATTGCAAAGCTGATGAAAGCTTACATCAGTATGATTGTGAAAAAACGCTACAGCACCTCTCGATCAGTGAGTAGTCATGGAAGTCAGGGCAGCTCCAGGTGAAAACAAAACCAGTTCTACTGTGCTCTAAATAGAACATATCACTGCTTGGCCTCAAAATGACCTGATGATACTGATCACATCTGTTGACAAGCTAACCAAGAACCAGAGTTTCCACGGAAAATATCTTCAAACATTGTTTTTGAAAGACCACAGGGTGGGGAGGGGAAAATCAGCTGAAATAGCCACATACTAGAACTTCTGGGTCATTCAAAACTTTCCAAAGCATTATTATCTTCAGTTGATGTAACAAATGCCTTAAGACTTGATCCACTGCAATACAAGCAGTAATAAGTGCCTTATGATATTAAACCCAACTTGTATTGACCCTACGATTGCTGATAAAAGTCAAGAGGATTTTTATTTTCGTCCTTCCAGAACACTGAAAACAAAGTTATATTCATCCATTCTGCACTAATCTACCGGCCTGTACACATGTGAGAAGGGGGAGGGAAGAAGAGCAAGGTATATTTTTTTTCGGAGAGCTGCTGGCAGCCTTCCTGATGGACACCAACATTTTGTTTCCCCTTGCTTCCATGCATGTGCACGTTGTGCATGTGTAGCTGAGCTGTCAGTAAAATTTGACTAATTTTATTCTGTATTTCACAAGTCTTTTGAAGCAAAGGGAATAAGTATGTGCAATGGTGTAAACAGTCTTTCTGTACATTTTAATAGTTCAGAGTTATAGTTGTTACAATTGTATGGTTACTTTATAAGCAGTTTTATTAACAAGTAAATTCCAAAATTTTCATACATTGGTTTTACTATTGCAAATATGTATTACCATATAAGTAGCAGAAGTTTGCATTCTGTATCTGCTGTATGATAAAGAGAGATGTAGCTGAGAATATTTATAGACTAATATGGAAATACAATTATCAGTTCAATACTCGATAATGTCAGCTTAAGTTTTTAATATTAAATTTCTCTTTTAAAGACATCACTTTTTTAATAATGCTGGCTGGACCCTCTAACCCAGACTGACTGCCAAAGGTCAGAGCCCTTCAGAGTTAACTAAAGAAAGCAAAGTTATACAATGCAACTGCTTTAATACGGAGTTCCCTGTTTTACCTGGTTGCCTGATGAAGGTTCTTGACAGCACCCTGTAAATAAATTGGGGAATATCAGCTAATAATAAGCTGATTTTGGACTTTTATTTTTGTACAGAAATACTGTAATATAAGGCAAAACTTTGATCAGAGGTATCTTTTTGTCTACAGAAAAAAAAAAAAAAAAGAAACCTGAAAAACCTTACTGTTATTAAAAACCTCAGCCTTTAAGGAATCATGCCTACTTAATAAAAATAAAAAGTCCAGCAATAAAGGAGGTATATGTGGTATGCTTTTTTTTTTTCCACTTCATGATGAGTTGAACTTGCAGCAAAGCCTTAAGTTCATTTGTCTTCTCAGGAGCCAAGCCAGGAACAGAGTGTAGGCTATATATATACCTTTTCTTGGAAAGGTGCATGTGCTTTGTGTTGTAACAGGGCAAGTTTCCCGGGATCACAGCTACCTCCTTGATCATGTGATATGTGTGAGATACACCATCAGGAGAAGGACTGCTGAGCAATTCCACTCCACAAGGAATGTGCAAGTAAAGCTTTTGCTATTTGTGTAGCCCTGATGTAAGATGGGTTGTTCCTACTAGCCAGCTGCATCATAGTAGTGCAGCATGCGCTGCCCTCGTCAGTGTACGCAGCCTTCATAAACTACAAGGCTTGCTATGAGAAATCCCCCACCAGCTGCCAGATGCCTTTAGTCACTCCATCTGTGAGACTGCTCTTCAGTCCCTAAAGGCTTGCTAAATAACATGCCCCCACCCTCCCAGCAAAGGTGAACTTATCTAAGGAAGAAAAATGAGAGAACTGTAACTCCAGTACATATAGCTACACACACAGAGGGCATCTGAGACTGTGATGTTTCTGATTGTTTGCTTATGCAAGTTGTTCAGAAAGAACTTAGCTGCTCTCAGCAAGGAGTCCTTGGAATGATGTGATTTATACATTTCAGCCAGTGCAGCAAGAAGTTTTGGTTTTGTCTATGTGCTGTTTGTAAACGTGCTCAGAGAAGTCCCTGATCATTGTCATTAACTAGTCAAAAAAAACAGGAATATGCAAGGTGACAATATTGTTCAGGGTCACAGTCTTGATGAGCTGATGCCACTTCTCCAGTCCCAGTTCATTTACCTCCTGACTGTCTTCCGGATGCTGTCAACCATTAGGAGGGATGTTTGCTCTTAGTACACAGAAGTGCCTGTCACTACATCTAAGAGCTTCTCTTGATTCATGCCAATTCTGCCAACCTGACATGCAAATCTTGTTTCAGTTACTGCTGTTGAGGAAAATAAAAGCTTTCGTAGTTGATTGTCACAAGAAAGAATGCAGTTTATCAAAATAAATACTTAATAATATATATACTTGGGTTTGCAGGTAAGAAGAGTGTTCCTTAAGTTTTAAAATATTTTTAAATTGAGATGATCTATTCTTGCAAATTATTTTGCTTCAGTAGAACTTTGTTCCAATAATACTTTAAATTTCCTGCTAGAGTCAGAAATTCTCTCCTGCCTATGATCTCCTCTGTTACAGTAGCAGTTGAGTGTATCTGAAAAGAGGAGAGAACTTTCATCACAAATCGGAATACATTTTTGTTTCAAAACAAGAATAAAAGTAAAGGTTTATGTTTTCAAAAGAATAAACACTGCAGAAGCTTACCACTACTTATAAAAGAGAGTAGATCTGTACTTCTGGGCAAGCCATTTTGGGTTGAGTGCATCAGAAATCACACAGAACTGAGCATTACAGCTACAGGGCTCTAGGAGAAACACCATGCCTTGTCTGGTCCCTCTAGAGGGAAGGAGTATTTTACTTTATGTCTTGTGGTCTGCAGGATTTTAAGCTCTTGTGTATTTTCTGAAAGAATGAAGAGCAGCCATTCCTGCCCCCTTGCCTTGGTGCTGCCTCCAAGCTCACATGGCCCCTGTGGACACGGAGCCTCTGCTGCCCATCCCTGCCCTCGGGAGCAGCCTCGAGCGACGGTGGTGCAGCCTCTTTCTCCACTCTGGCAGCCTCGGAAGACCCGCCACTCCCGGGCAGTGATGCTGACCCTGACAAAAGCCCTCGGGGGGCAGGAGGTCACAGCAGCTTCGCGTGCCCTCTGACTGTGCCTGGCCAAATACAGCCACAGCAGGAAACTCCCCGGGACCCCCCCAGCCAGAGGCGCTGTGAGGGCGCAGGCTGGGCACAAACTGCTGTCTTGGTGAGGAACAGAGGGCGGCTGCGATAGAAATACAATTGTGTATCGTCTTCTTAGCAGGCCTCGGAGCTGGCCGTGCTGCAGTTCCACCTCTGTCCTCAAGCTTCAGCCCAGCACTTTCCCTGAGCCTTCTAATGCACATACATCCCTTTGTCAGGGTGCTGGAGTTCTTAATAAGCTTAATTACACAGGTTATGCAGAGGAAATTACTTCACCCAAAAGTGTTGCATCAGAAACCTAGGTTTCAAGCCCCACATGTCTGAGGCACTCGGCTACGACAGGTACACACAGGTTTGCACCAGCACGCTACAGCACTGCCAGCCATGCTGGCCTAAGTCCATTCTACAGCAGCTTGGGCAGAACAGTGGCAGCTTCTTCAATGCTGACAGACTGTTTCTCACAGCACGTGCACTCCCGATCATTTACAGCTCTCTGAAGTAAATACAGAAGGGTGCCAACCAAATATGGCAGCACAGTCCCGAATATAACTAATTCTGCACGCTGCCCAGCCCTAGAAACGCCTTCCATTTCACTCCATCAGGTACAGGATTACAGCTGCCAGCTGTGCTCCGGCACAAGCGTGCTTAATGCACACACAGGGCTACAGAGTGGGTGAGATGGTGGAGCCAGGCATTTGCAGTTGGTTGATGGGACTTTCCATCTACCCCTATTTCTTTCAAACTAACTGAGTTATTAATGCCAGTTAACCTCACATCACAAGCAAACATCTAGTAAAGTTATATCTTGAAGGAATCCACTGAGAATATCTCCCACAACACATCAAAACAGACAGAAGGCCTTCAATGCAGCATCAAAACCTACACATGCTGGAACAGTCATGGGAAGCAAGCAGAAGAGGGCGGCAGCGATCCAAAAGTGAGCTATACAGAGAGCAGTTCCATCTGCAGTATGATTTCACCTCGTCTTTATCAAAAGACAAAAGGCTGGGGTAGAAGAAGGAAGAGAGCATCCTCTCATCATTCTTGCTGTCCACCAGATGTGTGATGAGGACAAGCAACAGCTACTTAGGCTGCTTCTCAGACATACCAACACCCCGAGCCTTCTCTAGCTTTGGGGAATTATAAAGTGAAAAATACATTAAGCACCAGAGGGGCTGGAGAAAGGGGACACCAACAAAACAAAGAGGGAAACTTCTAAGGTCAAAGTTGCAAGTTTCTAACTGAACAGTCGCTCCTTTTCATTGATACATTTGAGGGGGTGGGAGGGGGCACTGCTTGTCCACATTACCCTGTTCAGAAGGCTGTTCCCAACTTCTCTGTAGAAATTTTTACAAAATTTCTTGTCTAAAGTTGATTCATGACTAGATTATTCGTTCCTGTTCCAATCCGGTTTTCTCTAGCTAGGCACTACCTTAGCCCCCTCCTCACTTGGCGCTTGTCAGTTCACTAAACCCAACGTGACACCCAACTGCCCTCTCCACAGACTGCCACCAGGAATTTCTTCCTTTTACCCTCAAGTGAAATTACTTGCTTACTAACAACCCTCACCAGAGCACAGTGATACATCCACAGCCCTCATGCAGCCTCAGCTGGGGAGACCACAGTTTGCAGCGGTCTCCCTGGCAGCGGCTGGGGGTGCAGTTCTGACTGCTTACACAGCAAACATACTCTATTCTCAACTGCTCCCAGGTCTGTGTGTCCCACGCTTCTTCCCACTTTGAGAATCTTGGTGTCTTGAACTACAGTTTTTAAACAAAGCACAGCATCAAACATCAAATCTTGATAGACCACCCACATAGCCTGTGTCTAAGAACTAAGTCAATGTAATATAAAGTCAATGTAATAATTAAATGTGTCTAATTACTTTCCTCACCACACTATTTAAGGCGAGGAAAGTAACTCATTATATAGTTTTACACAACACAACAACTCATTGTTTTACCATGACGCCAATATTTTTGCTTAGATCACTCTCCCTACAAAGAAAAGCCAAAAGACTCATGTAAGAATTTGCTGATCCCCAGTGGCTTTGATTCTTCCTTGCCATTGACAACTCCCATATGAGCTTACCTGTTTCATAAATTCTAAACACTTGCTAGATTCAAAAAGGTTGCTGGACTGCTCTCAGGTGGAGTTAACCAAAGAGTGGAGCTAAACCTATAAAGTCATTATTGACTCTCTGCCACATCTATTCAAACAGATAATGCTATCCAAAAGATTACAGTAGTTAGGTCCAAAGTTAGATCCATGAAAATCAATTATTCTCATTGATCTTCCACATGGCATAATTAAACAGACAAGAACAGCAACACAGTTTCATGCTGAACACCTATAAATTGTTGTATAAATATTTCACAAGATTGCTGTGCAATGCTATTTCTGGGCTAGAAACACTTGGTTTAAGTGGTTTCTTAACTGGCTTTGGCCATAACTGTTGGGCCTGTCAACATACATTTTCTTCTGCAAATTCCTTTGTCTCAGGTCTTAGACAGTTACATCAGCGATATCATCCTTTCCAATTTTAAGTTGATCTGTCTTTATTATTCATCTAATACCACACCAGCAACTCAAAACATAGAAACATATATTGTTATACTAGCTCAATTCTCTAAAACCTGGATTCAGAACAGAACAACGCTGCATTTGAGAATGGAACATTCACTGTTGTTCTCACACACATTAACCACACAAAAATGAATTATCTGATGCAGGTGTGTCAGAGCATCCTGGTCATGATCTCTATTACAGAAAAACTAGAACTGAAGCATTATCCTTCCATACATTACTTCATTGCCGTGTTCTACTCTTAAAGCTTTGAGTTCACAGGCATGAAGAAGCAGCATAACCTAGCAGTGAGGGAAAAAGAAAAAAAAAACAAAAAACTAACATTTCTAGATAACAAGCAGCATCGACATTCATATAATTTTGTCATTCTTGTTAAATTTTTAATCTTGTACCACCTGGTAGTTTTAGCTTACAAGGCCAATAGGTCCCAGGAATTCCAGCTGCTAAGCAGAGAAACATTTCAGTGTACTATAAGAGCAATTTGAAAAGTCCGAACTGGGAAACTTTAATTTTGCTTAGCATGCTATGCTTATTAATGTATTTTTTTTCCTCTACATAG